AAACAGCCCAAAAATACCCCAGAAACAGCACCAAAAATACCCCAAAAACAGCCCCAAAATACCCCAAAAACAGCCCAAAAATACCCCAAAAACAGCCCAAAAAACAGCCCCAAAATACCCCAAAAACAGCCCCAAAATACCCCAGAAACAGCCCAAAAAACAGCCCAAAAACAGCACCAAAAACAGCCCCAAAAACAGCCCAAAACCAGCCCAAAAACAGCCCAAAAACAGCCCAAAAACAGCCCAAAAAACAGCCCCAAAATATCCCAAAAATACCCCAAAAACAGCCCAAAAAACAGCCCAAAAACAGCCCAAAAACAGCCCAAAAATACCCCCCAAAAATATCCCAAAAGCAGCCCCAAAATACCCCAAAAACAGCCCAAAAACAGCCCAAAAACAGCCCAAAAAACAGCCCCAAAATATCCCAAAAATACCCCAAAAACAGCCCAAAAATACCCCAAAACCAGCCCAAAAATATCCCAAAAACAGCCCCAAAAACAGCCAAAAAATACCCCAAAAACAGCCCAAAAATACCCCAGAAACAGCACCAAAAATACCCCAAAAACAGCCCCAAAATACCCCAAAAACAGCCCAAAAAACAGCCCCAAAATACCCCAAAAACAGCCCGAAAATACCCTAAAAACAGCCCCAAAATACCCCCAAACCAGCCCAAAAATACCCCAAAAACCACCCCAAAAATACCCCAAAAACAGCCCCAAAAACAGCCCAAAAACCGCCCCAAAAACAGCCCCAAAATACCCCAAAAATACCCCAAAAACAGCACCAAAAATACCCCAAAAACAGCCCAAAAATACCCCAGAAACAGCCCCAAAAACAGCCCAAAAATATCCCAAAAACAGCCCCCAAAAACAGCCCAAAAACAGCCCAAAAGTACCCGAAAAACAGCCCCAAAATACCCCAAAAACAGCCCAAAAATACCCCAAAACCAGCCCAAAAATACCCCAAAACCAGCCCAAAAATACCCCAAAAACAGCCCAAAAATACCCTAAAAACAGCCCCAAAATACCCCAAAAACAGCCCCAAAGTACCCCAAAAACAGCCCAAAAATACCCCAGAAACAGCCCCAAAAACAGCCCAAAAATACCCCAAAAACAGCCCAAAAATACCCCAAAAACAGCCCCAAAATACCCCAAAAACAGCCCCAAAATATCCCAAAAATACCCCAAAAATACCCCAAAAACAGCCCCAAAAACAGCCCAAAAATATTCCAAAAATCCCATTTTTTCACTATAAAAAAGCCCCAAAATTCCCATTTTTTCACCGAAAAAAACCCATAAAAATCCCATTTTTCCACCTAAAAACCCCATAAAAATCCCATTTTTTCCCCAAAAAACCTCATTTTTTCACTGAAAAAAACCCATAAAAATCCCATTTTTCCACCAAAAATTCCCATTTTTCCACCATCAAAAATCCCAATTTTTCCCCAAAAAACCCCATAAAAATCCCATTTTTCCACCAAAAAATCCCATTTTTTCACCGAAAAAATCCCATAAAAATCCCATTTTTTCACCGAAAAAACCCCATAAAAATCCCATTTTTCCACCACAAATTCCTATTTTTTCACCGAAAAAAAGCCCATAAAAATCCCAAAATCCCATTTTTCCACCACAAATTCCTATTTTTTCACCGAAAAAAAGCCCATAAAAATCCCATTTTTTCCCCAAAAAACCTCATTTTTTCACCGAAAAAAACCCATAAAAATCCCATTTTTTCACCAAAAAATCCCATTTTTTCACCAAAAAAACCCATAAAAATCCCATTTTTTCACCAAAATATCCCATTTTTTGCCCAAAAAAAGCCCAAAAATTCCCATTTTTTCACCAAAAAATCCCATTTTTTCACCGAAAAAACCCCATAAAAATCCCATTTTTTCACCAAAAAACCTCATTTTTTCACCGAAGATAACCCATAAAAATCCCATTTTTTCACAAAAAATTCCCATTTTTTCACCGAAAAAAATCCCAATTTTTCCCCAAAAAACCCCATAAAAATCCCATTTTTTCACCGAAAAAACCCATTTTTTCACCAAAAAAAGCCCATAAAAATCCCATTTTTCCACCAAAAATCCTCATTTTTTCACCGAAAAAATCCCATAAAAATCCCATTTTTTCACCAAAAAAACCCCATAAAAATCCCATTTTTTCACCAAAAAATCCCATTTTTTCACTGAAAAAAACCCCATAAAAATCCCATTTTTTCACCAAAAATCCTCATTTTTTCACTGAAAAAAACCCCATAAAATCCCATTTTTTCACCAAAAAATCCCATTTTTTCACTGAAAAAATCCCATAAAAATCCCATTTTTTCACCAAAAAACCTCATTTTTTCACCGAAAAAAAGCCAAAAAAATCCCATTTTTTCACCAAAAATTCCCATTTTTTCCCCCAAACCCGTGGGCAGGCTCCCCCCGGCTGCAAGTGGTGCACCAACTGTCCGGAGGGCGCGTGCATCGGCACCGCTAAAATCCCATTTTTACACTGAAAAAAACCCAGAAAAATCCCATTTTTCCACCAAAAAATCCCATTTTTTCACCATCAAAAATCCCAATTTTTCCCCAAAAAAACCTCATTTTTTCACCGAAAAAATCCCATAAAAATCCCATTTTTTCACCAAAAAACCTCATTTTTTCACTGAAAAAACACCACAAAAATCCCATTTTTTCACCAAAAAATCCCATTTTTTCACCAAAAAAACCCCATAAAAATCCCATTTTTTCACCAAAAAACCCCATAAAAATCCCATTTTTTCACCGAAAAAAGCCCATAAAAATCCCATTTTTTCACCAAAAAAATCCCATAAAAATCCCATTTTTTCACTGAAAAAAACCCATAAAAATCCCATTTTTTCACCAAAAATCCTCATTTTTTCACCAAAAAAACCCCATAAAAATCCCATTTTTTCACCAAAAAGTCCCATTTTTTCACCAAAAAAACCCCATAAAAATCCCATTTTTTCCCCAAAAAACAAAAAACCCCATAAAAATCCCATTTTTTCCCCAAAAAACCTCATTTTTTCACCGAAAAAACCCCATAAAAATCCCATTTTTCCAACAAAAATCCTCATTTTTTCCCCGAAAAAAAGCCCAAAAATTCCCATTTTTTCACCAAAAAACCTCTTTTTTTCACCAAAAAAAACCCATAAAAATCCCATTTTTTCACCAAAAAAAACCCATAAAAATCCCATTTTTTCACCAAAAATTCCCATTTTTTCACCGAAAAAAATCCCATAAAAATCCCATTTTTTCACCAAAAAACCCCATTTTTTCACTGAAAAAATCCCATAAAAATCCCATTTTTCCACCAAAAATTCCCATTTTTTCACCATCAAAAATCCCAATTTTTCCCCAAATAACCCCATAAAAATCCCATTTTTCCACCAAAAAATCCCATTTTTTCACTGAAAAAAACCCACAAAAATCCCATTTTTCCACCAAAAAATCCCATTTTTTCACCGAAAAAACCCCATAAAAATCCCATTTTTCCACCAAAAAATCCCATTTTTTCACCGAAAAAATCCCATAAAAATCCCATTTTTTCACCAAAAAAAACCCATAAAAATCCCATTTTTTCACCAAAAAATCCCATTTTTTCACTGAAAAAATCCCATAAAAATCCCATTTTTTCACCGAAAAAAACCCATAAAATCCCATTTTTTCACCAAAAAATCCCATTTTTTCACCGAAAAAAGCCCATAAAAATCCCATTTTTTCACCAAAAATACCCCATAAAAATCCCATTCTTCCACCAAAAAATCTCATTTTTTCACCAAAAAATCCCATAAAAATCCCATTTTTTCACCAAAAATCCTCATTTTTTCACTGAGAAAACCCACAAAAATCCCATTTTTCCACCAAAAATCCTCACTTTTTCCCCCAAAAAACCCCATAAAAATCCCATTTTTTCACCAAAAAATCCCATTTTTTCACCGAAAAAACCTCATAAAAATCCCATTTTTTCACCGAAAAAACCCCATAAAAATCCCATTTTTTCTCCAAAAAATCCCATTTTTTCACCAAAAAAATCCCATAAAAATCCCATTTTTTCACCGAAAAAAACCCATAAAAATCCCATTTTTTCACCGAAAAAAACCCATAAAAATCCCATTTTTTCACCAAAAAACCTCATTTTTTCACCGAAAAAACCCCATAAAAATCCCATTTTTTCACCAAAAAATCCCATTTTTTCACCAAAAAAAACCCATAAAAATCCCATTTTTTCCCCAAAAAACCTCCTATTTTCACCAAAAAAACCCCATAAAAATCCCATTTTTCCACCAAAAATCCACATTTTTTCCCCAAAAAAAACCCATAAAAATCCCATTTTTTCACCGAAAAAAACCCATAAAAATCCCATTTTTTCACCAAAAATCCTCATTTTTTCCCCGAAAAAAACCCACAAAAATCCCATTTTTTCACCAAAAAACCTTATTTTTTCACAGAAAAAGCCCCATAAAAATCCCATTTTTTCACCGAAAAAAACCCATAAAAATCCCATTTTTTCCCCAAAAAACCTCCTATTTTCACCAAAAAAACCCCATAAAAATCCCATTTTTTCACCAAAAAATCCCATTTTTTCACCGAAAAAATCCCATAAAAATCCCATTTTTTCACCTAAAAAACCCCATAAAAATCCCATTTTTTCACCGAAAAAAACCCATAAAAATCCCATTTTTTCACCAAAAATCCTCATTTTTTCACCGAAAAAAACCCATAAAAATCCCATTTTTTCACCAAAAAATCCCATTTTTTCACTGAAAAAAACCCCATAAAAATCCCATTTTTTCACCAAAAAACCTCATTTTTTCACCGAAAAAAAGCCAAAAAAATCCCATTTTTTCACCAAAAATTCCCATTTTTTCCCCCAAACCCGTGGGCAGGCTCCCCCCGGCTGCAAGTGGTGCACCAACTGTCCGGAGGGCGCGTGCATCGGCGCGGGCGGCAGCTGCCGCCGGGAGAACGATTGTCGCATCAACCAACGGGAAATCTTCGCTCCCCAAAACTGCTCCGAGGCCGCCTGCGGAGCGCCCGACTGCCCGCGCTGCGCCGCCGCAGGACGCTGCATGTGGACACGGCAGTTCAAGAGGACAGGTGAGCAAAAAAATTGGGAAAAATTTGGGAATTTTTAGGATTTTTTTGGGATTTTTTAGGATTTTTTTAGGATTTTTTTGGGGATTTTTGGGGTTTTTTTAGGATTTTTTTAGTATTTTTTTGGGATTTTTTTATGGAATTTTTGGGGGATTTTTTGGGATTTTTTAGGATTTTTTTGAGATTTTTTTGGGGATTTTTTAGGATTTTTTAGGATTTTTTTAGGATTTTTTTGGGATTTTTTGGGATTTTTTATGGATTTTTTTTTTATTTTTGGGGAATTTTTTTGGGATTTTTTTTATGGATTTTTTGGGATTTTTTGGGGATTTTTTGGGGATTTTTTGGGGGATTTTTTTGGAATTTTTGGGGACTTTTTGGGATTTTTTAGGATTTTTTGGCAAATTTTGGGGGATTTTTTGGGATTTTTTGAGATTTTTTGGGGATTTTTGGGGGGGATTTGCTTCTCACCTGATCTCACCTGACCTCACGTGTCCCATCCCACCTGTCCCATCTCACCTGACCTCACGTGTCCCATCTCACCTGTCCCATCTCACCTGATCTCACCTGACTTTACCTGTGCAGGTGAGACCCGTCGCATCCTGAGCGTGCAGCCCAGCTACGACTGGACGTGTTTCAGCCACTCCCTGCTCA